TCACACTGCTGATTAGACACAGGCAGATTAAAACGGCTGCCTAGTACTTTGTAGATTTTAAGTTTACGCGTCACTTGCTCTAGTTAGACACGGCGAAATTCTTGCTAGTTTTATACAATTGTCCATTAATATAGTCTTATGTGCAACCGAATATGCACTATCAAGCCACCGGAATAACCGCATGCATGTTCAGCCGCAGGCATCTCTTCGATTATTCATTATGTTGGTCATCAACGTTGTGTAATTTGAAACAGTCAGTCATTTCTCACTTATAAACACACATACAAAAGCACAGTAAGACCTGTTTTGTCACCCTGATCAGCTAGGCGAAGAAGGGTTGAAAGCTATGTGTAGATTGATTGGTATCCAACAGAGCTTGCCTNGCGATGCAGATAGACTAAAGATGCCTTGTTTGTTTTTATGTCGCACATGCAATGTAGAATCTGTATTTATGACAGAAGAAAAGTGTTATTTCTCAGGAGGAAGGAGATATAATCAGGTTATTCTATTTACCACAGATGAAAACATCAACTGGCAATTAAAAAATTGGCGCAATATTGTGAAAGCGAGTACCAGTTGATTGGCATTCAACGATTCCATCAATGCAGAGCAGATCCAAGAAATAACGTATGCATCTAATATGAGCATGTTATCCTGCACAGTACTTCGCTACTATTTCAATCCATTTCGTACTTTTCACTAGTAAACTATTTGTGAGGGTTACTCATCTATTTATCTATGGCACCCTCATTATACCTTATTCAACACTCATCTCTTAATGGAAAGATGTCTCGCGGCTTACTGATGCAAATATTTGTCCGATAGCTGCTCTTAAGCGGTCGAATCACAGACCACCAAATTGCGCTATGATGTTATATCGTAAAATGTTTATCAGATTATCAGGAATCTGGCGACCGGAAGTGTACATCTGTATTAGTAGATTTTGATCGAAAACAAATTTCTGAAATTCTTTGAGATAAGTTGAATGATTTTTAATATAACAATCGACAAGCAATAACCTGACTCGACTAAAAAAGAGCAGATCGTATCTCTTCAACTATGCACCTATATAAACGGCTCTCTTTGAGATTATTTAGAAACTGAATCGTCAACTGATGGGTATGGCAAATAAAATAGTAATTCTGAATTTCAATTTATTCAAAACTCTCCTGCTTAGTGACTCACTGAGCCTCTACAAATCAAATGCGAACGCTCTATTGACAGGTGAAATAAACTTTTCCTGGTCTTCACTTGTTTGCATTTTTGGACGACTCCATTTTCGTTCGAGGTTGGTTCTCATTTGTTATAGGACCACAATAAATTGTTCGTATGATATGAAAAAAACTTCCAGAGTTTTGGATGTTACTTGATTGATTATTTTTCACTAGGAAGAGGAATTTTATTTTCTTCCCTTTATGTATTTTCAGTTTTTTTTCCTATCATCAGCCTTTTCATCAGTTTCTACAAGAACTCGATGAACATTTTATTTTAATGACATCTTCATCGCTTTATTGTTTTGGAAAACGATGTGTCAAAACTGAAAGCATCCAATTACCGAATTCTCACAACCACATTGATAGACACTCAACTTTTCTATCAATGTTTTGGTGATCTAAGCCAGGTATTTTGAACCAAGCTAGTAATTATGCTTTGCAAAATCGAATGTCCCAACTTATTGATTGTCAACTGAAAACAGTGATCATATGCGCAAGTATTTGGCCCGTCATAAAAACAATAAATGAGACGAACCTACCCTAACAAATCTTCAAGTTTGAAAAAGATGTCAACTTTAAATCGGAGTACTTATATTAAAAACTGAAAACTTTACTCCTTAATATATACAAAATAATAATTTTTTATTATGCTCATGCATGTGAGTGTTCTTAGATACGTTTCGGGTGCAATCCAATTATTGGAATGAAATGGGTACCGTTCAAATATTTCAAGATAATTCTTTGTTTCTCGTGCCTTAGAATTCAAACGTTTCATCCGATGTAGCAACTTTTATCAGGAAAACATTATAAACGTGGGCTGAATAAACAAACCTTGTTGCTCAACTTTCCCGAAAACAAGTATTTCAATACAGTCATCATGAAAAGATTTATCCAAAAAATGAAAGCAGCAGAACGGCTGGGAGAATCGATATCTCGGGAAAAACCTTGAATAATTCAATTTTCGGAACATTTATTCACTCATCTAATTTTTTTGCATGAAAGAACATAATGCGATCAAACAAATGGCAACAGTTGAGGTCAAGAAATGTTTCAATCTACAGAGAAATTAATAGGTTGATCCTCGAACATTCTGAAGATGTTTGTCATTGTCACAGAAGATGACATCAAATGGTAGATGAAAAATTGTTAACTCACCTATGAGAAAATTGTTGAGCTCATTATATGTGTGCCGCTCAATTCTTTTTATCACATGGCAAGTCTTCGTCTATAAGAGCAATTGCTACTTACTGTCCATTCTGTAGGATATAAATTACGATGGAATTCAATATGTCTTTCAGTCTCTCTAGCAATAAAGCTGTTTTCAGAATAAGGATCAAAAAAGGCAGTGGTAGATCTTTTTTCTTAGATCTGCACGTTTCCTAGTGCGTAAGTCTATCTTGATTGCTTTTGGGTTTTATTTAACTTAAAAATCTCATCTATTGCCCGATTTGAAGGAATTGGCGGCTTATATAAAGGTGTGACCGCAACAATCATGAAACAAGGTAGCAACCAAGCCATTCGTTTCTTTGTTATGGAGACCCTGAAGGACTATTATCGCAAGTATCGAGGAGATCAGACCAGTGGATTGCCCGTATCAAAACCACTCACAGGATTGTTTGGCATAGTTGCAGGAGCTGCCTCAGTGTATGGTAATACTCCATTGGATGTGATCAAAACACGAATGCAAGTGAGTCACTTCATTTAAGTATGCTCTTGGTAATATCATGCGAAACTTTAGAGGCACTTTACTGTCATCTGTGCTCATTTCTATGGAGAAAAAATACTGTGGTTTCCTCCAATGATCTGAGACGACTATAAGATATCATCTGCAACTTCTTTTATTATTTATCCTACTCCTCGGTTTTACATTAAAGTTTTGATCGTGATACTCACTGATAAAAAGTTGCTTGCCTCAAATGAACCTTTTGGACACAAATCGGTCTTCAGATAACGACAATCTGTCCTCTTCACGTCCCACGCCTATCTGCACAATCTGAGGCGCGTCCCATCGCGCATAACCTCCAATTGACGGTTTCACATTCGGTGTCACGTTATTACTTCACCTGAAAAATTAAGGGTGTGTGTTCGGCAATCGAATCATGATAGAGTATTTCTGGATTGTGTAGATTTTTCTCCTTGTTTATTCACCACGGCTAACACTATGCAATAAGGTTTGGTGGTGTCCAAGTAAATTTTGTTTAAACAATGCATGTGCTCAAGGAACTAACATGATTAGATAGAACGTAGAGCCACTTCAAACATCAAGAATCCTAACCTCCTGTACGATTTGCATAGTATTAATTAACTAAAACGTAATTAAGTTCCTATAAGTCGCATTGATTAGCCCCGGTTTGTTCTATTCCATCTGATACACACCACACGCAATATTCTAGCACTAAAATAGCCATCTCCGCGAATCATGGGGATTTCATAAAACCCTGGTGATCTTAAAGAATAGAAGACAGATTTTTCTCATTTCCAGCTCCCAAACATTCTCTCAAATCGACAGGCTTATGCATCATTGCCTCTATCCGAACCAACTTCATTTCCCAATATGAGACGAATGTTTTGTTCTGACTAAAAGGACATTTTTGTTTTAAATTGACATTCGGTCTGACCTGTTGTCTTTCGATATCTTTGAAAAGTCTCCTTTCAACCAACCTTTGTATGGTCGCTGCCCCCCCCCTTCCTGAAGGTTGACTGTACATTTTTATACTCAATAAATAAAAAGGAAGTAAAAAGAAATTTCTTTTTATTTATTAATTTATTCAACTATGTTAGTATGTTCTCGTAGGCGTAAACAAAAGCATTGCGGTCTCTCATGCTGCTGATCGACATTTCTCTATTTTGTTTTGATAGCCCAAGACCTATGTTCCGTGTTCTCTCTAAAAGGAACTGACAAATTTATTATAAAAAGAAGCGAAACCTCTAACATACATGTGTGCATTTTGTTTTCCTGATACTATAGATTTCAATGATTTTACACAACTAATTTGATGATAAATCCATCCATTAGTTACAGATGAGCAGCCTCTCTTGATTATTAGTCGTATTAACTGGCTAAAACGTCTCTTCAGCCTCATGTACCGTTAAACATATAGCTACCACCAAGTCAACAATATTCGCTACCTAAGTGTGACTATTCCCTAAAAATGTTCCCATCGAAAAAAAGATTGAACTCTGAGTTAGGTATTTATAAAGGTAATGGTGCAGGCACGAACTATTTTAGTTCCACATGTAAAACGAATATTCTGAGTTTAATAATCCTATTTGACAATCAGACATTCTCCTGGCAATGGAAATTTTAACATTGATCCTCATAAGATACATGTTTAAAACAAACTTGAAGAGTTGTTCTTATATTTTGTCTGTCTCTTCACTAAAAGAAAACCATCATCAAATACTCAGCCTCGCTCCTAAGCCAAAACAATTAAAAACGTGATTATTTTAATATGGAGAAGTATGAAAAATTGGCTAGGTCTTTTACAGTGATCCTGTTTAATATGCATACGAGAACAATAAAGGATTTTATTTTTAATATAGGATGAATTTTCTCGTGTAGAGAGCGAACTATGCGGAAATCGAAGAGATTAAACGCACAATACAGCGTTTGTAATTTAACTGTCTCAATAGCAGCAGAAATTCATCTACCTAACCGGAGATCGAATCCGAGAAAGGTAACGGAACGCTGCCCGGCTCATCTTCGTAAATACACAATTCGGACAAACAACAGTAGTATTCTTTCGCACCAACTCGGTGGCAAACTTTTACGGTAGGTGCAGTGACTACACCTAGGAAACCGCTACTAACCCCAGGACTTCACAACGAATAACTATACAACAGTCTTCCAAATACAATGAGAGGTGTGGAGATTAGAATCTCAGAATTCCAATATTTCAAATTGGTCTTTTTATGACTGCAGCACAAATAGCTTTTCAGCGGTTCTGATTCATCCAGTTCTTCTAAACCACAACATAACGTGATAAAGTAGTCCTCATAAATAAATTTTTAACTGTGGAACTTTGCTGATCTATAGCCATACAGATGAAAATTATTAAGAACATGCGAAATGCAAATATGCAATTTCAAGAATTGAAATCATATATTTTTCAGCTTGAAAATCTCAGTTCACCTGTTTTCAAATTTTGTGAACCTTGTCCAAAACTCAAAAATCACATCTTTCCGAAATCTATGCTTCTCCCGTCAAATCAATCAACAATCACTTGTCGGAAATATTCGCTGTTTTCCGTTGTTGTTTCTGCAGCACCAAAAAGCAGGAATATTTCAGGGAGATAACCCAAATTGCTTAAACGTTAAATACAAATGAGTGTATCTAGGATGCATCATTCTAGATGCAATTTTGCAAGAGTCCAAGAATAAAGTAAAAGCCTTCGTTGTTTGTGACAAATAACTGCTACGAAATCAGTATAAATCAATTCGTATAATTTTATTTCCACCAAAGTCAGTTAGAGTGATCACGTTTTTAAAAGGGTGAACTATTTTTCACATTTTTATCGGGCATTGCTTCTGATTTTACTGTCGGACGAGACATTCGTCAGCACGCTTGTGAATTCCAAAAAGGTGAAATCCTATCCAGAGGGATTCTTTTCCATGTCAAGTTACAGCAGCCGAATCTGCTGCAAGAAAGAACAAGGTTAACGGTTGTGTCAATTGAATTGTTTTATACACTACGAAATACATCGTTTGCTATACAATTACTGAGCTCACAACCTGAGCTGCAACCATGAGTAGAAAGAGGCATTTTCAGTTTATTTATCCAGTTATCCAAGTTTTCCAATAACTTATTATCATTAAAGTCGTTTACCACATCTTCTAACATCCACAGATTGCATCGAGTTACCTGATCGCACAATCTCTTTGACTTTAAAGATGGATTATAAGTGACTCACATTTGTGTTTCTTAATAAGTTAAATTCAGCAATTATTGACACCATCTTAAGTCAAAACTCTGTCGGCTGATATTGCCTTTTGTCCCGAAAACGTCACTAATAGTGGTTGTTTCCTCCGCTTCCATACAAACTTCATTAAGTCAGCAAAGTTTTCATTAGAATCAGTCATTTTCTTTCAAACTGCTTAATTTATGCAACTGACTCACAGTGAGCCGCGACGTATCGTCAAGGCATGATTTTTTGTTTAATCTGCTCATGGACAGGGTGCGAGCTAAAATGCGGTCCGCTGCTGTTTGCAAACATTTTCCCATTTGCCTGACTTGATCCTATTAGAATGGTCAATTTGTTTTGAAAGCAACCAATGAGGAAAGGATAACCTCATATCTGATTTCGAAAGTTGACTTGCCAGTCTATTTTTTGATCAACACCACTAGAACAACCATTTATTTAATTGTGGACCCTAACACTTCCCCTTTACGTAATTATGGATTTTTGTGCAGCCTTTGTTTCTGTCTATAAATTGTTCAACCAATGGACCGTAAAGGAATTCACGGTGCTGGCCCGGCGGTAACGTCACCAAATAATCCCCTCGGGGATGTGTTCGAATCCCACGACCACCGCCTGAATTTCCCCATTTGTATGCTGAGTGATAGCCCTTTGATTGGCGGCTTCCTCTTTCCTGAAAATTGTATCTTTCTATATTCAATGAAAGGAAGTAAAACGAAAAGAAAAAACGCAAAAGAAAAGCAAACGAGGGCCAAACTTATGATAGTTTCCAATTCACTGAAATCAGAAGAATCTCAAATGTGAGCCTCATGCCTTCAGAGAGCAGCACGATCGAGGAAACTGGGCGTCTCCTTAATATTCATTTTTTTAAAACACCGCAATATGTGTCCCTGAACTAAATTGGAATGTTTTAACATACTATAGTACTAGCCTACTGGTCACAAAATGTTTGTGACGTGGAACAATTCTCATTGTGATATGTTAAAACTTTTAGGTAGTTGCAATTCGTCGTATGCGGTAGGCCCGGATGATTTACATCCAGTCCTCCTCAAATTTGGTGCTGCTTCCCTAGCTGGGGCAATCATTTCAATTGTAAATAAATCTCTTAGCATTTTTGTGCGATGAAAATGGTTGTGATAACCAACAAAGAGCACTAGACAGCTGGTTCGTCCTGTTTGGGACTCGTCAGCAGTGCGTACCTTTTTCGTTCCTGTCAGGACAAACATTCACCATCTGAATCTCATTAGCACTTCTACTATTTTCGATTGTTGGAGGCCGAAAAATCATACCACTCAAAATATCCAAATCTTCTATCCCCTTCAAACGTTTTCGTCCCATAGCACCAACATCTTCAGCTCTTGAATTGACTGAATAGGCTATCCCCAAACGCCTCCAGCAGTCTATAAACATTCCCAGTGATCCGTTATAGTTTGCATTTAAGCCTAATAGATCAACAGTGAACGCAGTCTCTACTCTAACCCATTTTATCACTAATTCTTTGAACAACTCAGTTAAGTATGTTTGGTGTGTTTTTCTGGACTACTCTTTGGTATTTGATTCAATTCTACGATCTAAGCTGTTAAAAAACTTGAATCCTTTGATAACTCAAGCAGTTTTTAGCTTTGCTATCCAGCTACTTTAATGATAGAGTATAAACCACTAGATTGAGGAAGTTTTCATCTAAACCCTTAGCCGATGACTCCGGGGTTCTTCAAGGAGCTGTGCTATCCCCGTAGTTTTTTACACTTATATTTGTGACATTCCCTGTGTTTCTTCTGCATGGATTTTGAAAGATGTAGATGCCATTTTGCTGTGCCAATCAATTTCTTCTTACTCCGATCTAAGCTCCTTCATCGATAATCTTCATCAAATTCAGTCATTCACCTCCTTATCGGAGCTAACCCTAAACCCCAGTAAATGGGTTGAGTGTTTATAAATTCTTGCTTGCTCTCCACATCCAACAGACCCCACAGTGATTAATAACAATCCTTTTTCTAAGGTGAACTCGGTCAAATATCTTGGTGTAACCACATGGCACTCTTCATTGGTCAACCCACATCCACAACTTCATTGGTAAACTGCGGCTCCTATCATTTCAAATACGAAAGCTCAGGCAACTTCGTGCATCCCAGTCAGCTATTTCTACCTTTGTTTATCAGTGTTTTCCATCTCACTCTTCTGTACCCCAGTTATTCTTCCTGGCTTACTCAAACAGTATTTCAACGTCTTACGCCGCAGTCTGACTATTATTAGTTGTGTCTCTTCTATTCCTGTGAATGAGTTCGCTGTAAAGCTTTCAGAGTACCACGTAACTTCCTGTGTGAAATTTACGGAGAGGATTCTCACAGATCCTGATCACCCATTTCACGCAGAACTGACAGATTGTCGTTCCCATCATTCCACACGCTCCCAATTCCGCCAAATTCAATTTCCAATTAACGCCTACCGAAATTCACCCATACCGTATCTTGCCTGTGTACTTATAAACAAAGAGTGGACAATGAGTGAACTTTGTCTTAACCTTGAACTATAAAATGTCCCCATGACTGTGAAACTTTTCTCCCAGTTTTTTATGTACATCGTGACCGTCGGCGTGTCTGATTTATTTAAACCTGAAATGTGAGCTCCAGTGCCTGCAAAATTTATAATTAATACACAAAACAATACAATACCTTATCCGCTACCTGATCAAAATCCTCACCAAGTTTAGTAGTATTGTCTGGTTATAAATGTTTACAAACATGCGTAAGGTGTTCAAAACAACTCACATATTCTACTGGACATAATCCAGTGAACATGCGGATAAACCACCGACCTTTAAACTTTGCTGCTCCTATCCTTGTTTCACATTTCTAGGGTCTCGATGCCCACAAATACAAGAACACAGTTGATTGTGCCTTAAAAATTTGGAAAGAAGAAGGACCTTTCGCGTAAGCTGAATTTATTTCTGTTAGAGATAGCCAAACGTTTACCGGTGCCAAAACAAATGTGCTACAGGATCCCATAAAGTTTTCGATGGTCAATATGAGATCAGTATAATGCCAAACTGAATTATATAGTTTGGCCATTTCTACCCGTTTTTCTCTGTCCCAGATATCCTGAAATCTTTATTCCATACAGATACGTTGTGTATATCTCATTCTGTTTTTGATACACCAAAAAACTGAAACCAAGTTTGCGTTTTTCAAGTAGTGATTTACTTCTTTTACACAAAAATGGCTATTTGTAATTTATCCATAAGGTATATCAACAAATAATCCGAAATGAAGAAAATGACTGTGTGTGACGCAAGGCCCACTGTATTAACAAACCTTTCTTGTACGCTCACTAGCAGCATTTCTTCAATTTACCTGAACTATTATTGTATTTCCACGATGGTAATGAATACAGTGAAAAAAATCACGTTTCGAACAACGTTTCACCATGAAAATGGATGTGTTTTGTGAATCATATCTGCTTAAACCAACCACATTCTTGATTTTGGGATAGCCTCATATTTTGTCAAACAACAAACCAATTACCGTGTTTGGCAGTGTTGTTGAGTTTGCCATTCGCAAATCCTTGTGCGTCAAAAACGCTATTGCGTGCAGCAAACGAATGTCGCGAGCTTGACGCATTAACGCCTTTCTGATAGGAGCAGCTGGAGAGTTCCATTTGCATGTGAAATGAACGAAAGGATTAGACAAATTTTGGGGATGGTTGGTCGAGCAAAACCAGTTTCGAGCACTGCTGTTGCTCGAACTGTTCGTCCCATATCCGAATCGGATCACGGAGTTGAATAATGGCACGTCAATCGCCATAAATCACCAAAAACTACTACGATAGCTAGTGTGCATTCGTTGTACTACTAATATTACTACTGCTACTACTACTACTAGTAGTAGTAGTAGTAGTAGTAGAAGTAGTAGTAGTAATAGTAGTAGTGATAGTAGTAGTATTGACATGGTAAGTTTCGCAAAGATAGATTCGATTGTTTGTACCCAGAATAATTTTTGGCCTAACAGAATTTCTTCAATCCAATGGGGACGCTCGACTGGCAAGAGTCCTGTGCAAACTGAACTGAGCTGAACAGATAGTTGTTAACTTTTCGAATGAAATAGTTTGCATGTTATGCTGACCAAGATGAATTGTGATAGCTTTAGCTTACATTATAATATGTTCAAATATATTTGCCTGTGGTCTTTAGAACCTGAATTTACCAGGAATAACTCTGTTTCTCCGGATCATAGACCAAAGTTTACAAAACAGACATATTGGGTGAATAAATTGTGTATTTCTGTCGCACAATTCATTTTTGCGAACAAAATGGAAAAAACTAATGCGGTAACACGTTTTAAACAAACTTTGCAACGTTGTGATATTGTGAGTGGACTATACGACAGAACTAACACAAGCCGTGAACCACGATAAGTGTGGCAGCAAAGACCCAAGAACCGAACCCTATGACCCAGTGGAATAGTGACGGTACACTGGTACGCCGACTGCGGTACGTCCCAAACAAACCGTAACGAAACTTTGAGGCGAAATATGTGTATTCCAATCAGATTAAGGAGAAGATCGGTAGCTCGAATGGTCTTCTTTACCTGAGATAAATACAAAAGTGGACGATTCAGTTGGAACTAAATAGAAATCGTGGAGAGCAAGGAGACAAACAACATTGAGATTTATTTAAAAATGAACATATATTGCGACATCAACTCAGTCTGTTTCGGATGACACAACCGTAATGTTCACTCTAGTTATTTATACTACCTTACATATCTCGTGCAAGCTAACCACCCCCCGTTGCTCAACTCGATCAGATACGTGTCCAGCTCTAATTTATATCCATTGTCAGTGAGAGGGACTCGATTAGCGGCACTGAGCCGCAATATGTGACAAAGATAAAACAAACCGGAATCAATACACAACAAAAGGAGAGAAGTTTCGTATATGACGCAGATGGTCACTTGAATTTAAAATTAGACTGTGTACCGGCTATGCATGGTTTAGTTTGCTAACACTCAGCTACTGTACATTGCTAAACTCAAGTTGTTTAGAAATCGGACCGTTTACATACCTTGTTCAGGATACTTAATATCTGTTAATGCAATGCGAAGTATTATTCAAACCTACGATTCAGTGCTCCCGGAATGTTACTAGTTTATTAGAATGAAACAACTTACTAACATGGAGCTTCTCGAAGCTTGATACATTTTTCTATATCCGCAAAAAAATTGTGATAAATAATCTGCCATTTTTTAAATGTGTTTTGACTGATGTATATAAAGAGCAGCTTTTTGGATGAATTTCTGTGTCTAATTTTTTCAAACTTCTAATGAGTTATTATAATAAAATGCGTTATTTAGTGGAAACCTATTCATTAAGTAGATTTACTTATAAATCACTGAGATGGTTCAAAGTTCTTGCATTGAAGGAATTAGTTTTCTACTTAAATTACGTTAATTTCCGAGCCTGAAAACAACAAATGACTACTTGCATTAACATGAAATTGAATTATTTCCTTTGGGCAGCGTAGTGAGGTTTCCGTTTTAATCAACTGCATCCCTTGTTGGTGATGAAGTGAAAATGTTGCCAACGTCCATAGAGTATTTTGTCATCTTCTGCCCATATACTTCTACTGACTATCTCAAAGGCTTTCAAATCGCATTAGTTTAAAGCCGACCGTCCCAGATATAGTAACAGAGTTTTTCCCTATATGTAAATATCACGTTCAAGCCTTCATTTTACACCGATTGGCGAGCACTTCTTCAGAAAGGGGATGGCTAACACATCGTTGATGCATTGAACTCATTTTGTTCCTGATCCTTCTGGTTTAGTGCAGATTCCGTCGGTCAATATTGGAGAATTGCGCAGAAATCTGACCGGAGATTGCATTTTCTTCCACAAATCAGAATATCGTCTGCTTACGTTAGTGTGCTGGATGTCCCAGGAAGCTTCGGCCTTTCGTCTTCAAGTCCTTTTCCAATAGTACATAGTTTGCTAAAATAGTGCTCATGATTTTCAAATCCGGAATCTAACAGAAAGGAATCTGGAAGCTTTTCTGTTGATTAGCGGAGAACATTAGTTCCTTCGGATGAGTGATCATGCTGACAGTTTTCGCAGGTTTCAATGCATTTTTAGTGATGAGGACATCAGCGCGAATGAATGACCAAACCGCCAAGACGAACAAAGAACAATTTATGTATTCCTAAGACACTTCTAATGTTCGATTTAAAGCAGTTGCATAACTGTGTTTCGTGGCGCGTTCTTTTACAATCCCAGATAGATGTTAACCAATCGAATTTCTCTCCAACCGGTTTTTGATTTCTGGAGGTTGAAAATCAGACATTTTGGAACGAACGATTTAAAGTTTTAAATAGGCAGGGATGAAAAACAAATTAACTGAGCTTTCTTCGGATCTTATCAGAAGCTCGAAAACCTCGAAACAGGTTTGATAATTCAGTTCTTTCAACCTTGGATTAGCCTGTACAATTATTATAAAAAATCATTGAATGAAAGCAGATGCATGAGTTAAGTTTGGTTCATATGTTTCGGAAGTAGTCGTTATATGCATGCTTCAATAACCGGTCAGTAATGCATGTTATGTATTTGATAATTCGCAAAACATGAAGAGTGCAGAGGGGTAGTTGTAATGCATCGGTCGTGCACAGTTATGTCGTGACTGATTGAAAATTTTACGGGTCCCCTGGGCGATATAGTATGCCTGAGCTGATGTAACTGTTCAAAGTAGCTTGAAGGGCATTAAAAACACAAAAGACTTAAACCAATAAATTTGGTCCCACAACATGTATGTATTTATAATACTTAACATCAAATAAACGTGTATTTTGAATACGTCATCAGTGATTGAGTGAATTTCTTTTTAATTTCTTACAGTTTCTACAAGGGCACCGTTCCCAGATTGGGCCGCGTTTGCCTGGATGTATGCATCTCTTTCATGATCTATGACTCTTTCATGGAAATGTTTCAAAAACCCCGGCCAACCAAATTGTGACTCGTGTCTGTTTTATTGTCATGGCAAATGCTGTCGTGGTTACCTCAACCATCACCTACACACTCCTTGCCGTGCGAGGTTGTGATTTTGTTTGCTTTTATTTATTCCCAAATTTTCGTTATTTTCAACTTCAATTTTCCGTGCTTTGATTTATTTCACCTTGTACTTTTGGCCTTTCATGCTCGGCCCCCGTGTATCGTATAATGACCAATCAAGAAATGGTTGTGAGGTGGATGGTTTGTTCAACGATTGTCAGTCATCATTTTCACAATCCCCGTATTTAACACTGTGATGATCCCGTCACTCGGTTTCTATTTAATTATTCCAGTATATCTCTTCCATTCCAAATCCGATGACATTTCTCTCGATAACTTTATACTTTTAGGCTTTTATAAACGGATCAACTTATACTTTGCAACTATAACTTTTGCGTATACAAGTTATGGCCTTCTATCCCCACCGTTCACTCCTCTTCATATTTCAGTGAACAGTCTCATTTTTATCTAACAGTCCCTCACGGGCCCAAGACATTCCATATTAGCTGACCAAAAGTTGCACAATGGGTGTTTTGAAAAAGGTGCTACGTTCTTTCAAAGCATTTCGAATAAACTGAAAAGAAAAATGCATTTGTTTTTGTTTTTTCCTATCGAGCAGTATGAAAAAATCTTTCAAGATATTGGGTTCAGATCATCCGGTCGTGGGTGGAAATTCTCGTGCTGGTCGCAAGGTAAATGTTCTTCACTGTCATCAGAGTTCTTCTATACAGAGACATTTTACTCTAGAAAGTTTTATTCAATTCCTGTCTTATGAGAAACGTTTCTTAAGTGTAAGGAGTTGCATTTTATTTCATGGTTCTATCAGTGGAAGAAAGAAGCCTCCAGGTGAAAAGCTGATTTAGGCGTGCGGTATGCATGCCGAACGAAAAATTGCCAACCACTGAAGGGTTTATGCTAATCACAAACGTTGGGAGCAGATTACAGGTCATCGCGTTTTGATTGGTAGACTAGTCGCGCCAACATAAGACCCAGGTTGATTGTCTTAGGATTCTGAATTCTAGATCAGCAAGTCAAATCGAAGCGGTCAAACCTGATTACAGAAGTAACAAGCTATCAAAAAATTGAATTTACGGAGCTGATTTATTATTGTTGTTGTTTCCACTGTTGTTATTGATGTTAGCATTATTATTATTATTGTTGGCGGTGGTTGTTTTCCTACGGATTCCATTGTTTTACGTCTCGCTTTGTTACACTGGAACGTCATTTGTTCAGATGTTGTTTAATCAACCTATTTTATTTGGGAGTTAATCTAGGAAGAAAAGCAGTAGTGTATCAAATCACGGATTTCCCTAGAATCATTTGGGTACAGTAATGTTGTCATGAGGGCCTTAAACGACAGCTTGTTCACTATACATCATCGGAGACTTTGTTAATTAAAACTACTGGGAGGTAAGTCGCATACTTAAATGCAAGTCACGAAACAGTTTATAAAAACACCAGTTCAAATTTGATTTCAAATGATAGGCTTTTTTGCAAATTCGAATATGGTTTGCAAAAGTAAACCAGCTTCAAAAGAACTTTCGTTCATGACCTGAGGTTTTGCACCTCAGGGGGGTGTCTTAGCAACAATTATTAACTTCTACGGTTTTATTGTTTGTACAGTTCCGACCATAGTCAAAGACGACAAGTCATTATTACTTTCGAAGAAAGTTTTATTACCTTCATCAGGAAAAATATCGGTTAACAAATATATCGGTAGAATTATGGTTTTCTGGGAAAACTTTTGAAGTATTTCAGTCTAAGAAAATTACTTAACCAATCGGTTCTCCTCCCGCTTCAAGAAACGTACTTTTCAGTGTAGAGTGTAACAGCATTTCTAACAGTTCCCTTGTCAGGGTTTTTTCCTCTAGAATTGCCAAAAGATTAATTGTTTTGACTGGAATTGAAATGACTATTATACTTAGCAAACCCAAATGGAAATTCTGCATTGACAGGTTTTGTGAGCACCTTGCACGCAGAAAAAATGAAATAAATATCACACTTATCTCTAAGTTTCTAGTGAATGTTGATATCTGAGGAATGGTAATAATTCGCACTGACCATCCTTCAGACTTCAATCTTTAGCACAATCCTCAGTTGATCCAACACCAACTAAACGATTGACTTGCGACAGGTGGATGGTTCCCTTTGTCCTTTACTCTGAATTTTAAAAATAGTTGAGAGCCACCTGATGAAAATGTGAGTTTTCTGTTACCGTTTTTGGGGCCAACAATATCACTAAAAGAAACCTGCGTACATTTTTTATCGGGGCTATTGGAAATAAATTTTGTAATTATAGCTATCTGTTTAAAGAGATCTCCATGCAAGATAGTGAAGCAAGCTAGGAGATTTTTTACCACATCATGA